GTAATGTCCTGAAAAGTCACCTTCTCCTTGTAATACCTTTGTTATACCTTTGTCATTATACACATTTATGTCCTCATTTGTCACAAAAATGCGTACACACACACTCACACTCACACACTCACACTCTCACACTCTCTCTCACACACACACACACACACACACACACACACACACACACACACACACACACACACACACACACACACATACACTCACACTCTCACACACAGGTTTGTTTTTATGGTTTATGGGGACATTCCATAGGCGTAATGGTTTTTATACTGTACAAACTGCCATCGCTGAGACAGATCATGGAACAAATGGGCTGACGGTAATGATTTTGACAGTACATCATGAATGCATGTAAACAATGAGTCAGTAACACAAAGGCAAAAAGCAGTTATATATTTGGTCAAAATTAAGTTACGACTGAAACCAGGTCTTATGATCAGTCCTGTCATAGATGGGTTTGACTTCACTGTGACCAGATTCAGAGAAATGATTCAGAAGATTCTGTGTGAAAATAAATTGTTCTATAATACGAGATGTCTTCAGAGCTTTTTTATTGGAGGAGACTTTTGGAAGTGATGACAATAATGAATGTAGATCAGAAGCTAACATTTTGCAGCTGGGTTTAAATTTAAGGTCTCTCATATTTTTAAGTGGGAGAACTTGCACAATTGGTGGCTGACTAAATACTTTTTTACCCCACTGTATACCTCGGTTTCACAGACAAGGCGTACAGTTTTTGCCTGCTTGAACACTTTTTGCAACAAAACATTACACACAAGCACACAAGACACAACACTGGGAAATAAACCATTCACATCTATGTTGAATTGAAACTCTGCGATCAAAACCTAACAATCCTTTGTCAAAATGTCACTCTGATGACAAAATGATACACACTTGCATCATATGAATACACTTTCAGATCAGCAGCAACACACTACTGTACTTTATATAAAACACTGCAGTCTTTAATTTTCACTGTTTTTATTCAGTTCATCAGTTAGCATTCTGTGAAGCTCAATGCAACACTTACCGTCTTTGTTCTGTTTTCTTCCAACAAAGGTTTTCACAACAACCAAAAAAAAGCACTGAAAGGTTACAAATGACATCAACTCAATACTGCACAT